AAATGTAATGGTACCTGGTACGGTGAGTGGGATACCACGCCTCAATATTTTAGAGGTGTTAAATGGAGCTGCGTTCCGAACAAATACCTTGGAACCCCACTACAATATATGCAAACTAATTCAGAATATTGGGCGGACGTTGTTGAGGATTTAAGAAAGCGGGCAACCAAATGGTGTGGCCGTGACATGTCGATATTTGCTAGGGCCACTGTCTGCAATGTTTTTCTAATCGCCAAGTTATGGTATGTACTACAAGTCCTAGACTGTGCACGAACTAGTATACAAAAAATGCATAGAGTGTTTGCTGTTTTCATATGGAAAAGCACGGGGGAACCCATGAGACGCGATAACCTCTTTCGTCCAGTGTCAAAAGGAGGACTCGGTTTGTCCCACCTATTTGTCTGACAAATTGTTTCACGTTTTCTTTTCTTGAGAAACCAAAAACATCCCCTTTTGCAAGTAATGTTTCAGACAAGAATAGCTCCTCACTTGCCTTCCGTTCTGGTTTCTTCTACCATTGGCCTCCCCGCTAGGAAGGTCGGTTTTGTGAAGGAGGTGGTGAATGCCTTAGAATTCTTAATGGCGCGTTACTCGCGGGAGTATTTGTTCAGTGTCACCAGAAAAAAGTTTACCAAAGATCTAATTGATAGTCTCTTTCCCGCTCCGTTGTACAGAACTTCGTTCATTAACATACCTGGGGATGATGTCTTGGTTCGCGTAAAGAAGATGTGGATCCCCCCAGCGGCGAAATCATTCTTTTTCCGGCTGCACAGTGCCACACTGCCAGTTAAAGTATGGATGGCTGAGAGAGGTATGTTTTTACCTTGGGGTGCTAACTGTCTACTGTGCAAGCAACCTGAGACAGTTGAGCACGTATTCATAGACTGCTGGGACGCAATCATGTTCTGGGACGTCCTAAAGCGCACCATAAAGAAGGACATAGATATAACATCACATTCTATTCGGTTCCTCCCTGTTAACAAACATGAGAGTGTCCCGCTCGATATGATCATGGTGTTAAGTTTGTTTGCTTTGTGGAAATCTCGTATGGATGTCCGCCATGCATTGGAGAAACCAAAATCTGCTCCACAGTATTTCACTGAACTTGTTACTCAGGTGAAAAGTGTATTTGAGTGTACGGACGCAACGCCTGACTGGGCAAACCTGTTGCATGTGCTGTTGTGTATGAAGGATTTTTAACTCTACAGCTGCCCAAAAGATCTGGGGGGTAGTCTGTTTGTAGCACTGAATAAAGAAAAAAAAATTCAGTAGCTCAGTGGAAAGACGTCCGCTTCACACGCAGAGGGCACGGGTTCAATCCCTAATGTGGGTTTACCTCTTTATTTTTTTTCATCAAGCATTTTGCGTTGTTTACAATTCTTTTTTTTACAATTATCACTGAAAAAAAAAAAAGAAAAATTGTTGTGGACGATACGTCGCTGAACTAAATGGTATCGGATTCCGTTTTTGACACCTTCGAACTCAATGTCACTGACTCCTTCCACTGGACGGCCAAGAGTCACTTCCGGTGCACGTAACTCCGGGGCTTCGGAGTCAAGCTCCGAAGCACCGAGTCCGGAAACGGTGCACGTAGAGTCAAAGAAGCTAGAGGTGACGTCATTTCCTGACTGACGATTTCCGGCGGGAAAATTCGAAGGTGATCTGAAGATCTGTGACTCGAGTCACTCCGTTCGGAGGCAAGAGAGGTGCTACTGAACGCCCCCAATGTAGTCACTTTCCATAAAATGCAAGGAGCATATACCCATTGATCTTTCAGAAACTTGCGCACTCTGCAGCACAATGCCACTTTCAGATGTAGGACATGTGAGGCAGCTCTTCACGAAATATCTTGGGCCAATCACAGGAATTCACCACGGGCACTCACTACTAATTGCCAACGATTAAATGTACAAAACCAGTCATCTTGAAGTACAGAACAGCGAGCGGAACAAACATAACTGCAAAGGAATCGCACGGCGAACGAACGCAATTCGTAGACGCCGCGGTGGCTCCGAGGCGAGAGCGCTGGCCTACGGATCCCCATGTGGCGGGTTCGAATCCCGGCCGAGGTGCCCGCAACCTGACCGAGGCATATTGCATAGAAGGCGCCGTTAAACCGAGCTTTCGGTTGCACGTCAAAAGATCCCCAGGTGGTCTAAAGTAATCCTCAGTGCTCCGCTGGGGCGTGGCAGATGTCCGTCGTAAGTTTGGCACGTAAAACCCCCAAATTCCCGCTATGTGTGTGCTATGTGCGGAGAAAAAAAAAAACGGGTGGTTGGGTGTAGCCACGTGACTTCCGCCACTCAAACTATCCTCTCCACTTCTCCGTGGGGTTGCGGGAGTATCGGTTTTGGTTTCGAGCAATTGCGTTTTTTGGCTTTATTAAAAAAATACGTGACTCTGTAGCAAAACATTAAATGGGTAGAATTCCGACACCATAATGAATCACGTGACAGAAAAGGAAAAGCAAAATTGGGGGGTGTCAGTGTCCCTTTAACAAAACAATGTGTTATAACTTTCAGAATAGTGTTTTGGCCTTCCATTTGCGAATAGTCTGAGTCCTTGATATGCCCAGATACTTGTGTTGCACCATTGTTCTCTGAGGACAGTTTGGTCTTTGGGAGGCCTCCCGCCCCCATGCTAAGCCTAGGTAGCAATTACTTGTTATGTTACTCGTCTTCGTTTTTGGTTCTATTATTTATCCGATTGACCTGTAGCTTAGTTGAAAAGAGCTTCTGGGTGCTCACTGAAGTGTTAAAAAAATACATCTAAAAGACACACATATGGTATCCTTGTAGTCACATTATGCACGACTATATTTATAGTCCTTACAAACAAAAGCTTCAGTCAGCAATTTATTTTTATTATTGTACTTTGTTCTCGACTATACACCGCGCGAACTGTTAATGTTAATACTACACATGCGGTTTCCTTGATTTAAAAAAAAAGAAATAATGAAACGTGTAGGGACGAAAACAAATAGTACAGTTCTTTCAAATAGAAAAATACGTTTAATGAAGTCACCCTCAAACCGTCAGCTCTTCCCTTCCCTAACAACCGAAAGCGCTACAAAAAATGAAGAAAACCTTTGTAAAAGAGAGGAGGAAACCCGGGAGAAAGAAGAGCATTAAGGAATATCATAAAAAAAGTACATAAAGAAACTGTCAAGGAAACGTTTCGGTTAATGTAATGCTCCTAAAGAAAAACAATGGAAATAACAAGAAGGCAAGAAAGAAATATAAAACGTAGGAAAGTAAAAAGAGAATTGTGGAATTGAAGTGAGCTCTAAAAGGGTTGATAACTGGGCTAGTTGGTAGTTAGACATATTAACGGCATTAGCGCACACGTATGAGGAAGAGAGAAGGGACAGAAAAGAGCGCTACTCACAACTGTATTTACAAGGATGAAGAAAAGAAAGAACATCTTTTCTTCATCCTTGTAAATACAGTTGTGGGTAGCGCTCTTTTCTGTCCCTTCTCTCTTCCTCATACGTGTGCGCTAATGCCGTTAATATGAAGTGAGCTCACTAAGCATTGCCCCAGAAACTCTACTGCACTCTTTCATAACATATCGGAAGGCGAGGTAAAGTTGAAGACATCACCGTCTATCCGATAGGACTAAATATTTCTCTGTCAAGTCTGTCCTTGTGTTACCTAATAACTCGCGTTGCATGAAAGTGCAGCTCACTGTTAAAAAAAAATGCATTTATGCTCCACAACACGGTGAAGAGGGTCACTGGATGCTCTGGTCACTTCAAAGAAGTGCTCCCAGAGGCCAGTGTTGAGGCATCTACCAGTATGTCCATAGTACTTATTTCGGCAGGTTATCAGGATGGAGTACACCACTTGCTCTTTGCAAGCGACAACCGGCTTGGAATATTGGATGAAACTACCTTTCGGAGCACTATTGTTGTTCGCTCTTTTGCAAAGTTCTTTGAGGCGAAACTTGCACGAGAAAACAACGGACGTATCAAAACGCGCTGTCATGACGTTTAAGCCGTAAGCGGAGTTATGGAGATACGAAATGGTAACTAGTCATGAAGGCTTCTTTATGGGAAGACAAGAGCTTCCCGATTCTATTATTATAAGAATGAGAATGGAAGTTTTCAATATCGTTCCAGAACCCAGCCTCGAAGAAGCGTTCTTGCCATGCTGCTATTCTGAGCGAAACTAGGTGGCCACAGGACTTTGAACGGGAAGAGATAAGGTGGAACCGAATAATTCCACGCTTCATCATTTTACAGTAAAAACTGCAAAGAAGGGAACAGTTTTTTTTTTCTTTTAGAACGTTGTTGGAAAGTTTAGTGCAGGCCGGAGGGGATAAGATGAAGACGAAGATCTAAGTACTGTAGACACTTGTGCATGGGGTCTTCTCGTGAAATCATTCTTACCAACCCGCTCTAAATATATTTTCGATCTTCGTTGCTCGGGCAGTTTTGTTGTACCAGATAAAAGTGCTTCTCCACATTAGAAAGCTTGATTAAATCTCTATAGTTATGAGAAAGACACTCAAAGAAAAACAAGCGGCCGTTCACGTGGGCCACAATCGTCGCTCCGTGCAGATTATTACTCGATATATGTATTCAAATATAGCTGCAGAAATGTATCTTTTTAATATCACAGCAGGCTCGGAGCTGGTTTTATTATTAAAAATTAATGATCTCAATGATTGCATTTCTCAAAGCCTATTTTCTTATGATTCGGCAAAATTTCCAGATTCTTGAATGAATGAATAATCGTTGGTTACCGGAATTATCATCTAAATTTTGAATTTTATTTTTATTTTGAACACGTTTGGCTTTGTTTATTACATTTAACTTTTTGTTCATTATATTGTTTATACCCAATATGGAGAAAATAATTAACGACAACATTTCCGAAGGTTACACAATAAAGACGGCAATAATCAAACTGACGCGCTGGTTACTGCGCCTTCATACATTTAGAGTGTTTTGAAACCTTCAGTATTAAAAGAACTGAATAAATGTAATGATTTCTTACCTTTCATTTCTAGTCTGTATGCTCCCAAAAAATCACGAATGGGATCACTAGAACAAAAATATGACTAGGCTGTTGTTTGCATTATATGAAAGGTCTATTTAGGGTAAAATATTCTGACCATACCAACCTTGTTAGTAGATAGACAACATCAGCGCGTTCGCATTGATTTGTCTTATTTACCCAGCGGTTAAACATAGCCAATGTAAAAACGGGGTCTAGCTGTTTCTTTGACTCGTTTTTGAATGTCTTGTATTTCTTGAAAACATGTTCTTCCTCTTCCTAAAACAGATCATTGCACAGATGTCGTGACTAAAAACTTATTGAAATATAAATATGGTTAGCACGTCAGCGGAATTTTTGTTTTGTTTTGTAGATCTCATACAAATCACTTCATTATGTTAAAATCCCGTAACACTAGCAATTGCTAAAATATTGGTGGCTGGATATGTAGGGTAAAAATTAATTAGCACAGTGTACATAACGTTAAAGCACCAGGATCTATTATGTCATAGAGTACGGTTCCCGAGGTGTTGAATCTACATTTAAGTCAGAATATCGCATGTTTACTGGATAATAAAAATATTTTCCAAAGAGTACCACATTGAAAAATGCGATCATACATGTGATCAGTATAATTATTTGCTGAAAATTTTTTTTGTTTTGTTTTAATCTTAGTAGATATTGTATATTAGGAAGTGAATAAATTACGCGGTCCAAACATGTCCACTGTATTAAATATGCGACACGACCCAAGTTTCTAAAGCGCGCGTCATGATACACGTATAAGGTATGAAGTTTTAAAGTAGCGATATATTTAGAATATTATATGGAACGCTTTAAATTTAACTCTTATTCACTGCAACCTAGTGGGATTACGCGTGGTTCCTTCTAATGCCGAAAGGGAAAAAAGATTCGCAGCAAATAAAATTATTTTGTTACGACCGTTTTTGATATCATATTAAATAAAGGAATGAAAGCCGTGCTTTATCGTGCCTCCACAGTGTGGAATATTTGAAACAAGAAGGTATTAACTTTTTTGCACGTTCAGATTGCACAAAAAGGTACGTACTTTAAGAAATAATGTTGATGAGAAAATGTATAAGTGATGCCTGTCATAAATGCTTCAAGCAAAATCGATCTTAGCAATATAAAAAAAAATAGTAGGAGATAATGGCACCTATAGAAAAAAGATAGTTATTCCCTGTGGATCAAGACCAGGGGAAATCATTACGGACACTGATTAAAGAGCGGTTATATTTTTTCCATCACTTCGCTTACCGTTAACTCCTTTACTCCAAGAAGAGACAATTTAACATCAGGGCACTTGAAGTTCCAGAAATAAGCCTCTACCTGAAACAAAAAGAAACTCTGAGAATACTAGACTTCAAATTTAACGCATACGGTGTAACAAGCTCTGGGAATAAAACGAAGAGCTAAGATGCAATTTTAATACCTTTTTTTTAAAGCACGATCCTTTTATGAGCGGATTCCTAAGTAAAGTGCCACATGACGAGTTGTAATGAAAAAATGGTAAACCGTGCGTTTGTCAATTGCATGGGTGGTGTCATTGTGGGACACATTGTCACGTGTTCTAAGCCACGATGGGTTACGCAATCATGTGACATGATGTTGTGGTGTCACGTAATTGTGTAACTTGACGTCAGAATGTCACGTAACCGCGTACCTTGAGCTCGCCACGTTACGCGACCACGTAACTTGAGGTTATAGTGTCACAATTTCACGTAAGTCGACGTCGTGTTGTTATGTGACCACGCGCCATGATGTTAGAGTGTCACGTCACTACGTACTTCATGTCAGTATCAAGTGACCACGTAACTTCACGTCAGTGTTACGTTACGACGTAACTTGGCTCAACCATGTCACGTGACATCGGGACGCAACAGTGTCAGGTGGCCGCGTAAGTTAACGTTACAGTGTCAGACGACATCGATTAATGCTCTGTGACAAAGTAACGTGTAGTGACGTCATGTGAAACGACGCTGTCGCGTGACATCGCAGTTTAAATGACGTCGAGTCGCATGGACACGGGGTTTTTATCCCGTGAACGCTGCCAGCAAAAGAAGTAGGAGAAAATGGGAAGTTCTGAAGTAATGTGCACGATGTTAGCCCACATCACCGCTAAATTCAGCGCTTACCTCAGCGCACGTCACGTAACAGAGTTTTAGAATAGCGTCTCTTCGCCGCAATCCGAATGCGACGAATCTCGTCCTTGCAGCGCCAACAAGATACGGAAATCAATATTTCGAACACCCGAAGTACTTTAAATAATAATAAAAAAAAAACAGCTAGGCCATGAGCAACATTTTAGAATCGCGTAATTTTGAGAATACGACAAGAGCATTAGAACGGTCATGTCAGGTCGCGTTGCCCTGGCAAGAGAGGCGTTCGACGTGAAGCGTTTACACATCGACAATAGCAAGTTGCTGGCGATCGTTACCCGCCTTGTTGAACCTTTCAAATAGTTTATGGATTGTACCTGCTGCATAAATTGTATGTCGCCCTGACCTGAAACTTGCAGTCGCAATGACGCAACTGACTTCGCGCCCACTCTGGCCCGTGCGGTGACCGCTCTCCTAGGAGCCGCCATTTTCCAGCTCAGCTTTTCTTGCTGCTAGAACACACTCTTAGAAAAAAGGCTTTATATATTCCTCCATTAATTAAAGATCGATCTTGTAGTCTACGTTCCTTCGGAAAGGAAGTAGCGTTCGTCCCTGAACGCAGTAGAGCAAAGTTCTTCCCACGTATTCTCCTCGTTATTGCGGCCCCGAATCGAGTGAATCGAGCTTAATAAGGATTAACGAGGACGCTGCGTCTATCGTCGGTCTTTACACAAAACGCTGTGGAGGTTAAACCGAAAATAGTTCGCATAGTTTTTGGACAGGCGAGTGCCTCGGGCTTCTGGTGGCCCCGCAGGGACTGCAGGCAACAATAGCAAGAAAAGCAGTCAGCTGCTTTGGAACCACCTAAACAGATCAGCGCTTTTGAAGCGAGAGGAGCAGAAAAAAAAAAAATGACCGCATCTCCACGTGGTGAATGATGTTGATTGGGGCAAAGCTCTGGTTCGTTTTCAACCATCTCGGAAAGAGAATGTGTGGTATGGAACGTGGTTATGTACGCATTTGCGCATTTGACCGCAGCGCCCTCTCGTCTATAAACGTTGATCCAATGCATGCAAATTTTAACGCGATTATATACGCATTTGACCGCAGCGCGCTCTCCTGTATAGACGTTGACATGCAACGTCTCATCCATGACATTTCCAGCTTTTGAGTTACTACCACATCTCAGAGCCCCCTACTCGTCCCACAGTCGCGGCCGAGTGGTTAAGGCGGTGGACTTGAAATCCATTGGCGTCTCCCCACACAGGTTCGATATCTTGCCCAACACGAGCACGTGAGCACGTGGGGTCACGTACACGAGCACCAGCAAGATCGATGTGAGCACGGACGCTGGACGGACAAGGCTAGATCCTAAGCAGCTTCGCCCCTAAAACGTAACACGAGCTTTTCATGAACTGCATTTACTGCCGAAGCAAGCACCCGCACGGCTTAGGAGGCTTGCGTTTTCAATCCAGTCACTCAATTTCATTGTTGTCAACTCTATGATGTTAAACAGAGTTGATCCAAAAACGGCCACTTAGCGCACTTCAGGTATTACATTTGCTATTCCTCAAGCAAACAATTTTTTCGTTAACACCGCACATCATGGAGGAGTGGTAATCCATTCGCGAGATAAAAAGAACCCTCAATAGAGAGAGCAAATTTGAAGCAGCCTACTTGCCTCAATTTTGCACGGTAAGCAGAATATATCGCGAAGGGTGAAATAAAGATAAATCGCTCGCCACCTGGTGGCAGTATTAAATAAAATAATTGCAAGTACCTAGGTTGGGGTGCCACGTATTGTCCCATTCCCAGGCGACAAATTGAATGTTTTTATTTGCTCTCGGCGCCATTGCTCTTCGGGCATTTACCATACACACTTGTGCATATATTACGGGTACGACAACACAAGATCATCAGCTGGACGATTAAAAAAATAAAGAAAAACGAACGCACACCTATATACGAAACACACAAACATGAACACACAACCCCGATTACATATTGCCGCCCGCAGAGCCGAGAAGGCAACGCTTGGTCACGGCCTTCTAGAAGATGACGAAAATAATCCCTGGAGAAGGGGAACAAGAGGGACAAAGGACAATTGCATTAATTTAATCGCATTATAATTCTAGAAGATTCCCGGTCATTCTCGCAGCGGACGTAACTTTCCCTCTGCTTTGTTATTCTCGAAAATGCCAGTTCATCCTCGCCTTGAGCGCGCGACGCTCGAACCTTGTTTGCCGAACTTTCGAGATAGTGACGCTCGGTAGATAAGCAGCTGCCCGCGACCTTGTCGAGTCAGTCTCAGTCTCGCTCGCGCTCTCTGTTTTGCCGCCAAATCGCCGCCTGCTTTTCTGCTGCCGCGACGCTCTTTCGTTACTTATTTTTGGTTGGCACAAGTTCGCCCATTAAACCTTTATTTTCAGTTCTTTGTTCGCCTTCTCGTCGCCTTCATTCGTGACAATATTCTTAGAGCTGCGATTGTGCCTTTATTACTCGTCGTTTGAAGGTACGGATTTTGTCCAGATTTTGTCGCTGAGAAATTGAGTAATACATAATGTTGACAGTATCTTGATATCTTCTCAGTAATGTCTATCCTCAGGAGGCATTTGCATCGGCCGAAGGGAACAATCTCTTAAAAAAGTAAACGTTCATGCCGTAATTATTCGCGGCTGCCGATTAAACAGCTCACTAAACTGCGGTTCCTAGCGGTCACGTGTTCGCTTCCCCGCGAAGCGTGTTGTGTAATGCACTAGAGACGGAGTTTCTTTAACGTTGTATTTTTTTACGCTGGTCGTATGTGGTACAATTGTCGACTTGAATTAACCTCTTTAGACAAGGTATTTAATCAGCTGGAAGCGGCGCTTCACTGCTTTAGAGGTAGATAAATTGAATTTCGCTCAACATAAATGCCGTCAAAGACGCGATTTGCGGCAGGTTTTGTATATGGCTAGCTACGCCGTCGCGAGTTGAAAAACGAGCTTCTCGGAAACAAACTGACTGTCGACTAAAATCTATCCGGCTATAACACAAAGCTAATCTTCCTAGCTCCGCATCGTTTTTTATGCTTAATTTCGTTGTATGCCATTATACCGAACTGGGTATATACGTACTTCCTGTCAAATATCAAGCCTGTTCAGCCCTTCTCCGAGATCGCAATCGCTCTCGAGGAGGGAACAGGATATTGCAGAAAAGGTACGTTGGTCCGTACGATTAGAGCTGGGGTCGGACCAGCGTTCCAACATAACCCGCTAGTCGATCAATTTGACGTAATCGATCAAGCGAGCTTTTTAAACTCGAATATAAAGCAGAATGCCAACCTGCGACGGTGTACGTCGTCTCATCATGATGTTACACCACTGGTACGCCAAACACATGGTGAGATCGTCGTATCTATGATTCTGGTTGTCTTTCCCAGCGCCCATCATTGTGATGGTGATCTTGGTGACACGCGGTAATACGAAACCATGGCAATCGTCGTTGGTGATCGGCAGAGGGAATCAGAACCGAACGTACAGCACAAAAGACACGGTGGTTCACGGAAGAAAACCTGTCTGTCTGGGACGCAGTATTGCCACAACGTCGATGCCAAGCGTCGTTCCGAACGTTGCGGTTCAGGAGTTTCGGAGAAAGATATCTTAGCCCAATGTACGTAGCACTGCTGATACGGCTTGCCAACTTCGGTGTTTCTAATGGCTTCGTTTGCTCGTTTTATAAAATTGGTAAAAACAAAAATGCAACCATAGTTTTCTGCGTTTTGGACAAGAACGCTGAATTACAGGCGGTCTTCGCTGCCGCTCACGCTGAATCAGCTCAACAGAGTATATTAAACAGCGCGAGCGACGTGCCCTGCATACTAGACCGAAAGAAGATGAGCCATGAGGAAGGAACTTTCCTCTGGTATGGAGGACGAAAAAACTTCTGGTTCCCCCCTTCTCGTGTCCGCTTGAGGGCGCGTCAGTGGAAGAGAGGAAAACGCGCCAATGCTACCTGTTTCCCAATTTTGTTCCTTAGAATGCACCTAGGCTACCGTTTAGAACGCGCCGTTTGGGACTTCGGGGCGGATAGCAGAAGGGAGGAAAACGCACCGTTGCCCTGCGTTTTTCCTCTACTTTTCCTCAGAATGCGCCGTTTCTTAGAACGCACCGTTGTTCAAAACGCGCCGTTGCTATTTTTTTTACCCCGCATCGTCAGTGAGTCAAATGGTATACCCTCCAGCGTTTGTAGAGTGACGTTCGTTGCGACGCTGTTAACATTTTTTTTTTTTTAATCTTGAATATTGTTACATTTTACATATAAGCGAATTTCCTTGTCGAAAAGCATTAAAATGGTCCTGGAGTAATTTATTTACTTCATTCCCCTTGGCTTCCCTCCTCAAACTCAAAAGAGAAATAAGAAACTACGTGATAGTGGCGTGCTTGGGCAGTGGTACGGTGACTCCAAGCTTCCGTAGTTCTTTTTCAGCACGTCATGAAACTTGTCATTTTCAATGGATGATAAGTACCGTCACAGCACTCGTTGGCGCCGAACACGAATTCAAACATTCGTCGCCGAACTGACTGTTGACTAGCGTGTATATCCGAGTTACGCACTTCTCGCGTCCGATGCGTGAGCTGGGGTAGGCTCACGTGCATTGGGCACCGCGTATAGATCGCAGCGAAAATGCGAAAAACTTACCAATAGAAGGAGATACGAAATAGTCATCCATATTTTCGAATTTTCATACCGACAAGCAGGCTCATGAATTTCTACCTTCTTTCTTGTTTGCCCACTAGATGCTATGCGATTAGTGAGACTCCAATAGAAAATTACTGATTCCAGCCCAAAATTAATTTCATTCCCTTTTAAGATATTGCACCCTATTATTTCCTTAGTATATTTTTATTGAAAATTAAATTTTTTTAAAATTTATGTGCACTTGTGGGTGCAAGTATGATTCAACCTCTTGTCTTTTTTATATTTGCTTTCAAAGTGTCTTTTCTTTTTGTATGCAGTCTTTTTTTTAACTTCTGCTAAACCGATCTCACCAGCAAGTTTGACTACGCCGCCGCTGCCGCAACACATTGAGAGATCTGTAGTCTCGTTGCGCGTGCGACACATCGCTGGAGCTCCGCGCGAGTAGAACAATTAGCAGCACGAGCAGTCTAGAGCAGTTTTGCCGGCCCCCTCTGAGCTAAAATTATAAGGCTGCCTCACGCATGCACCAAAAGCTCGGTGAGATCGGTCTTTTGGCCTGCAGTATTTTATTAATAAAACTGAAATAGAGTGCACCGGGTGTGGTTGAGAAAAATGAACCGCGTTTTCCACCCATCGAAAATAAACTGTGCAGCGCAGGAAGGTAACACGGCGAGAATCTGACACTAGCAATTTTGCGGTAAGATTCAAGAGTTTGAGAACCTGTCGTTATCTGAATTAAACGACAATAGAGGTAGGCGAAACAATCCTGTCAGCCGCCATCTACTTAAGCATAATACCATCCACGAAAGAAATTGCATTGCGGGTGAGCTCTTATCGGATATATTTCTGCAAAAAAAAATAAACAAAAAACAAATATATATATATATTTCCTTTTTTTGGGGGGAAAGCGTTTATTACGGATACAAATGTGATTTGCGTCCGTAATGTCAGATCTTGTTTTCCCAATATTACGCTTAAGCGGGCGTCGAATCAAAATGTGTTTTTGTTTTATTTTTTGAAGCGAAAAAAAGGGACTCTACCCAAAAATTTAGTAAACATTTACCCTACGTTTCGGGACAAGTTTGGTCCCTTGTTCACGGGTGAGTGATGAAAAAAAAAAGACACGCGTCGCCTAAATGCACATACGGCTGTAGGGGGCTTTGATCATGTCACGCCGTCCCGAGACGTCGCTGGTGGGCAGGGAGCCCGAAGAACGATTCACGTTCCCCTTTGTGTGCTGGATAAACGAAGACTCAACGAAGAGCCGCTTTCACCAGTTCCTCTCCAAGGCCAGCACGGTGTTTCCCTCGAAGTTGACTGTGTGGCCGGTTGCTCCTGCGTGCTCCGCGTAGGCGCTCGCCTCCACATCCTTCTTCCGGACATCGTATTTGTGTCGCGTAAGCCTCTCTGCGAAGTTCTTACTTTCGCCTACGTATGAGGCCGGGCAATCTTTGCATGGTATGCAGTAGACCAACCCTTGGGCCCTTTCTTCGTTGAGTCTTCGTTTATCTAGCTCACAAAGGGGAACGTGAATCGTTCTTCGTGCTCCCTGCCCAGCAGCTACGTCTCGGGACTGCGTGACATGAACAAAGCCCCCTACATCCGTATGTGCATTTAGGCGACGCGTGCCTTTTTCATTTTGTCAGTCACCCGTGAACAAGGGATGGAACTGGTCCCGAAACGTCGGGTAAATGTTTATTACATTTTTGGTTAGAGTCCCTATTTTTCGCTTCATTGCTATTCCTAACCAGGCAGAGGGCTGCCGAACGTTTACCTTCAAATGTTTTATTTTTGATTCGGTATACGTTTTGTTCCTAAAGTTTCGCGTTCAATTCCAGTCGATGGCGTCGCATTCTCACGGAGTTCCAGGTTCCTGCGATGCGTTGGTTCTTTACGCGGATCGACGAACGGGATTCTTCTACAGCGGAGCTGTTAAGGGCTACTTAGCCCAGTTTTGTGTACGCGGGCAAACAAATGTTGACTCAAAACGCCGGACAGCTACCGCCATCTATGAGCGACGTCGGCAACCAGAAAACCGACTTGCCGGTTGTCTGGTTGCCGCCGTCGCTCATAGATGAAGCCAACCTTTCGAGCCTTTCCACTCTGGCTTGCCGACTTGCGGCCGGCCATTACTTCATTCCCACTATAGTACAGCTTCGCTGGTCTTCCTTCTTCACCAGTGTGGAAATGATGAATGTTTTTTTTTTCTTTGCAAGACCACCCGGTACGTTTAGCGCTTTGTGAAAGTGATCGAGAGAAACTCGAAAGGCTGATAAGACCATGGTTTCCCAGGCATTTTTCAAATGATATAGTGTGCACCTACAACCTAAGACATTGGGTTCTACGCACGCGCGGTGCCAACGACGCTATTTCCTTTGAAACACCAAGCCCTTTTGGATACATTATTCTAAACTCTCTAATATCCTATCTCATGGTATAAGAGTTTTTGAAACCCGCTTTTTTAGTAATTCGAAATTCGTACGCAGGATCACGAACATAACCCTTTTATAAAGACCACCAGAGTCGACTATGAAATCGTTCAGAATGGAAGCTTGGGCGTGTTGGTAAGGCATGAATATTTAAAACGCACAGCGAAACAGACGGGACGGAAGAAAGGAGCCAAACAACCGCTGAACTTACAACTGAAGTTTTAATCGTCAAGGCGGAGCCTATATACACGATAAAAGCGGCACAATCATCGTGCACGCTGTCCTCGTGAAAGAAAATCTAATTCTTTTGCTGACAAAAGAACTGACGGGGTGCTGACATACTACTTTGCTTCAAGGGCGCTATAGCCTCTGTCTCTATAATGTGATGCGGAATTAAAAAAAAAAAAGTACAGTCATTGGAAGAAGTGTAAATGCCTTGACCAGGGTGATTATAGAAGCAGAGGCTGTAGCGCGCTTGGCGGAAGAGTATGTCAACGTCCTCTCGGTCCTTTTATTGGCTAAAGAATTAGATCTCCTCTTACGACGACAGCATTCACGATGATTGTGCGGGTTTCAGTCGGGTGTTAATTGCTTTGTGTGTTTCCTTTGTTTGATCGTGTATATAGGCTGCGCCTTTACGATTATAACTTCAGTTGTAAGTTCTGCGGTTGTTTGTCCCCTTTCTTCCGTCCCGTCTCTTCCGCTGTACGTTTTAAATAATCGATTATGAAGCCAGTGGCGTCAAGGGGGTCAACGCGGCACCCGGGGCAGCAGCCCCCCGCAATTCCCCCCCCACCCCCCCCCGGCTCTCGTGGCTCGCCACGACACTCCCCTGAGCCCTGCACCCGGGGCAGTCCCCCCCCCCCCCCCCCCCCCTTGTGACGCCACAGTATGAAGCATGCCCGGATTGAACAATAAGGCAGATGAAAACCAGAGGGTTCTGGATATTTTATTTTGAAGACGCATGAGGTTGAGTGTGCATTCATTTGCACTACACTCAACTCATCTGCCAGTCCTGTATTTAAGAAACATACTCATTTTACACCTACTAGTTTTTTATAAAAAAAGTTGAGGCATTTACAAAAAAGCAAACCGATTAGAACACTTCTATTTATCTACTCTTTAGCAGAAAATTGAGTTATTTAGCTCTGTGCAAATCAATCGTGATATACGTACGTTGTTGACGAGCACTTTGAGGTACGATACGACGTCAGAATGGCTATTTTTAAGCAGTTTCCCGTAGGCTGTATCCACCATTATGTATATTCCCACGTCAACAGTGCCAACTAGAAAGATACATTTTTTTTTCTCAGAACATTCATGCATTCACTCCAGGGTGCTCCCCATATCCACATTCAGCGCTGGTCATCAAAATATTTTTTTGGCCCTAATTATCTGACATATCTACCGCATAACATCTGAGTCGGTGTGCAATAAACCTAAACAGAAGAGCAAACACTGAACAACAGACGCGAAAATTTACATCTTCCTCAGCAAGTCTCAGTAGTCGTAAATCAGAGGTATTAAGGAACAAGTCTTTACCAAGAAAGTCGTAAACGTAGAAAAGTTTTTGGAAAGGAGTAGGGCCTTTATTACACGACGTTTCGGGAAGAAACCTCCCGAAACGTCGCGTAATACTGACTCTACTCCTCTTCAAACATTTTTCTACGTTTAGTCAGAAATCGGCAGATTATGCAATTGTTAATATCGGAATGATTTTTCTCGAACTTTGATAGAAAAAGCATAGCTCGAATCTTCTGAGTTTAAACATAAAAGAGCTGAATTTGGAACGCCACTGCCCTATATATTTGATATATTTTAAAAAATTTAAAGATATGTCCAAATATTCTTACCAAGTTCACAACGCTCTATGTACCACTCTTCAGATTCATACTTATCTCCTTCGCAGCTACTTGCACCTGTAAGGAACATGTTTGGTATCGTTTAATTTATAATTCGCACCAACACTAAATGAATATTACTACAAATATCAGCAATTGTTTGTGTAGTGACCACCCGGCCATTTTTAATGAAACAGCGAACATATGTTAGCCTACAGAAACGACACTGGAACCACCCTATTCCAGTTCATAACGTATAAAATAAGCTTGTAGATACCATGGATAACACAAAACGAGAATGGATTTGTAATTTGTGTTTTCGCCGCGACTGCGTTGCGCCTATTGAACGACTGGTAATTTCGAGGCACTCCTGGGATATCTACATGCTTCATATGCTACTTCAGTGATTTTCAATAAAGCTCGACAGAGTTTTAATTAAAACGGTACGTTGATTTTAGGTATTTCAACATTAATAAACAAAGCAATTCAACATTAATAACGCTTTCGTGTCTTGTTTTATGAGATATCTTCGAATTAAATCTAAACATCCTGTACACAGGTTGTTTCATCTTAAGTTCAAAGGAAGACCAACAACCAGAAAGGAGGACACTTTCCCTTAATTTGCTCTATCTGTGAAAAAGAGGGAGACCCTCCTTCTTCCAGTTGGGGGGGGGGGGGGGGGGGGGAGGGTAGCTTAGAGGCCCGCTCCAGTGGGGAGAGGAAGATAAAAGGGTGTGAGAGGAAATGGACAGATGAAAACTGAGAAAGGGGTTTTCTGCCCTGCAGAAAAAGATTCTGTGTGTCGGTCTTGAACAGATTTGTTTGGGAAAAGCCGTGAAAGCTACACCAATGCGGTTTGTGCAGGAGAGTTATGCGGCCGGGGGGACATGGATTCTCCTACTCATTGTTTTGAGTAGGATAATTAAAAAGTAACGATTTATTTAGCGAAAATGAACAAATGATTTCAACTAAAAAATTTCTGAGCGTCATCGAAAGCCACTTAAGAAGTCATTTTAGAAATAGCTTAAACGCGAGGGAAGCGCAGTAGTGCTCTAAACTTACCATATGTTCAACAGGTACAATGCATAGCCGACAAAACGCGGGCAACAGACGGATAAACCGCGGCGGCGGGTTGTCGTAACTGTAGCCTTGCTCCTGCTGCACGGACGGGAACCTTAGCGCTCCACCGAACTTCTCACGTGCTCCAAGTCTTTCTCATATTGACTGTTTTAGTCCTAAACCCTAAACTCGTCAAACACAAAGTTGGAGCCGAAAGTTCGAGGAGCGCGCCGATTGGACGCCGGAGAAAAAACACAAAATCATCGTCGGTATATTTTAATCGGTGCGCTCCGTGAACCTCGGCCCAACCTTGCGTTTGACGAGTTTAGGGCCCTTGGGGTGAAACATAGTATAGTTTGCGGCGCAACAGACGGCGTGGCGAAGATCTAAACTAACTGTTCCATGTATGTGGTGCGATCTAGCTTCTTTTTTATTTAACTTTGCCTTCCTTCTCGCAGTCGGTGCAAGGTCGATTTATATGTGTCGGATTGAAGTGGTGATGTGGGCGACTTTGTTTGTGTTTAAGCAGTGTATGAAATAGTGCACAGCAAAACGGAGAAGGGAGAGAAGAAGCACACACCACGAACGATGAACTGACAACTAAGTATTTATCTATGAAAAAACGCAGCAAATCACCGTATCAGTATCGTGCAAACACATGTCCAAATAGGTTGTCTTATTTTTCTTTTTGGAAGTAAACTGAAGTTTGGGTTTCGAAGTTGTTTTTGCCCTGCTTTTTTTATTTCATAAGCATCTAATCATTTCCTGTGTCTTATCAGCTCATCTTTCAACGATCGTGATGTTGTCAGAAGAAGGATGACACAAACAAGTTCCGCGGTGCAGGGGTAAATGATTTCCCTCTTTCGATCGCTGCTGCCAACCCAAATTGAGAGTATTTGCATGCAGCCTTTCCGGGGTCATGCCAAAGGAGTCCTCAGGGTGCTGAAAACGCGTTCGGATCTCCTGAGGAACTGGAGGCCGGTACGTCTACTGCACGACTACCTGAAAGTGTTGTATATGTGTGACGGCTCTTTACCAACGGGATTCCGAAAACATCGCGAACGCCAGCATCTGCTGAAAAGAGTGAAAAAACTTGTTTCGCAACGAGTTAGATGTGGGATGCCTAAGCAGACATGATTGCAATTGCTAAGCTTTCAGGATAAGTGTTGAGAACTCTCGCAAAAGGCCTGAAGTACAGCGTCAAACCACATTTGAAACCGCGTGAACAGTAGCTGTGGTGCGGAAGGTTTAAGATAGGTCTGATACAGGAGAAAAGGAAAGGATGTATTATACAATGTGTTGACTGTTTGTTACGTTCTGACACAAACAATCGTACGTCGTCAATGCTAGGTGGGAGGACGTTTGAAAGGGTTGTTTCGTTCACCCAAAAAAACGAGCTTGGTTTTCCAAAGGTAGACAAGGGCGCAAGTTTTGTTATGCTACCACAGGACATGTATAAGTCTAAGTCGAGCGCGGCTATTCTTAATAACTTTAATTTCGTTCGGTCCGAAGAAGGTTAACATTGCTGCACTGAGGTTGTGTAATGGTCTGGCGCTGGCTAACTTGGAGAAGGGCGTTAGGAAGAGCAAGAACAACCGCCTAGGGGCCTTTTTTGCTGTAAAAACTCGCAAGCTGGGCCATTTATTTACGACCATTGTTACTGAGATGGGCGCTTGGCAAACACTGGTTAGCTAATTCCTTCAGAAACACTTGGGAACGTTTTAATTATTCCACCCGTCTCTCGTGTAGACCTCACAAGCTGTTGTCGAGTTCCTTAGAGATCTTTAAAGCACGAACCCGGAGGCGTTTTTTAATATCTACTTTGAGGAAGTGTTTTATTCCGTTCCCGGTTAGCGTTTATTTGCTTCGATACGTGACTGTGTCAAGACAGATGGAGTGCTTCAGTTTCAGAACGCAAGTGGTACGTCAATTGAACGATTCATGGAAGTGATCAAGCTGTATATGCATTCGACGTTATTTCGGTTTGAAAGTGGTTACTCCCTACAGAACGCAAAACATATTCATAGGCTATACTGTAGCCCCCGTACTTTGTGATGCATGTTTGGCAATGTGCGATCGAGCCATTAAACAAAACTTGGACGGCAAGTGTGCTCTTAGGCTGTTAACATATGTGGACGATTACATGGTGGCCACAAAAGTTGTTCGCGCGGAAAAGGGGAGGGGGGGGGGGGGGGGGGCGGAGTGGCACCCGACAATGATGTCGTCAAAGCAGTGCTGGAAGCTTTTGCTGAAACCTCCGGAGCACTGAGGTTTACTTACGAGCTCCAGGATGGGGTAACACTAGAGTATTTAGACCTAAAACTAGAGTTCACAGGAAGTCATGTATTTTTGGGCTTTCGACCTTGTATGTAGAGGGGAGTTTTGCCTGTTGATTCCTCACACTCCAGGAGCGCAAAAAGGAGCAAATGTTTTACCAAAAGAAGCTAATTAAAGTGGCGCTCTTTTTGAAATCTTCATACGTCTGCAGACTAAACTAGCCGTAATGACAGTAAAAAAACGAGAAAATTAAAATTTATTGTTTAGAGATACCTGCTTATTAATTACGAAATTTCACGCAGCATTCTTTCGTATTTACTGCCCCAATGGGGCCTTTAGAGGTAACTCAAAATAAATAAATAAAAATTTATTATATCTATACGATATTTTATTATAAGTCTGATTGAAGTCAAATGCTGGAAGTCACACAAGACAAGCGAAAGATGATAAAATAAAAGTGTAAGGTAACCGCACACGCCTAGGCTTGATTGGCCAAGCCAATGATAACATGCGCGCTGAAAGACGACGTTCTGTTTTGACGCTGCTTGAATTGGGATATTGGGCTAATAGCGTCGGCTTCGCTCTGGCTTAAAGTTAAACGACATACAGTTTCTTGCAATATGAGACATCTTCGCCTAATCAGTTGAAGCGTTGGTGTTAAGTCCGCACTTTTCAGACACATATAATTATGAATGAGGCTAAAGAAGAAAGTAGAATTTGTTTTTTCAAACTAAGAAATGTTTCCTTTGTCAAAACGAATTCGGCATATCTACCTTGAAATACATTCTCTAGTGGGACTTTCATATTGTAGGAAGGTGCACATCATAAGGTAATCGGCGATTCGAAACATCAGTCAAAAGTACAGCAAAGTACCTATTCCGTTTCTAGAAAAAAATGCCATTGAAATTCAGACTGACTAGATTTTTGTAATAATAGGTTTTGAGAAAACTGTATGAAACAATAAAATTGCACCAACGATATGGTTCGAAAAAAAGAAAAAATACAATACATTAGTAGTATATCTTTGACGCAATTTATTATTGCGTCGTATTTGAACAAATATGCTCCTCATATATCTACGAATTATGGTACGCGCTAAGTGAGAAAATTTACGCGCGGCGTTATTTTATAAAATATCTACTTTCAATTGCGACTTTCTGACAAACTTACTTGAAGAGACTAGAAGAGCCGCTTTTAGAAACACGAAGAAGGCAGCCGGAAACATTGCGTAGTCTTGAACAAATTCAAAGAGACTTGCCGTCACAAGGGAAAAGGATTTTTAGTACAACGGTCGTCGCAATCGTATATCAGGTCTTCACCTCCATTTGTTTTCAGAACAGGGACGGATATTTTTTTTAACGTGATCTTTACAAATAACATGTTACTTCCTCGGAAAAAAGGGGAAAAAAGAAAAAGTGGCAAAAGTTTTGAGCGTTTTTAACCTTTAGGTGAAGCATAAACAAGGTTTCCGAACGGCAGGTTCGGAAACGTTGTTTATGCTTCACTTGAAGGTTAAAAGTCCTCAAAACATTTTTTTTTCTTTTTTGTGGACGTGCGATGTGTTTGGCGTTTTCTCTATTGAAAGGTCATATTTGAACATCAAAAGTCCAACTGCTTTTCTCTGCTTACCGAAGTGGCCTTCAAAAGTACGTTATATGGCAAGTAAAAATGCGCATCCGTGAAGTGTTCGCGTTTCCCGCGACGCGCAGTCACAGGAAACATAAACATGAAAAACGGAGCGGCAACCACTCGATTTATATAGCGCGCCTCATATCGACAAATGTGGGCAGTATTAGCGACGTGCGGGACCAAAAGCGCCGATGTGGTCGGCATTCGCTATTGCCCAAACCATAGCTTATTGTGCGCTGATCATGCCTGCCCCATTGCCTGTTCACAAAAAAAAAGCAACTGCTGCCAATCACATCGAGGCAAATCCTGCATGGTTTTGACGTGGCGAGCGGAAACCGTAAGAGGGTGCCGCCGAAACAACTTGGCACTTATTAAAATCAAGTGACGGTTTGTGCATTTTATTCATCGCGTGAGAGTCTACATATCTGATTCGGCGCTGCCTTCACGCTGTGCTCTTGAGTGGGTGGCAGGAATAATGGCGTGGCGCCTTCGAAGGTATTAGCGGCACTGCGGCGCCAGGTCCCGCAGTCACAGGAGTTTCGTACGCCTTTAGAGATTCTGCTTACTCATTCGACTGAAGCAACGGAACTACATTGAGCTTCAATTCCGACCGAAGCCGATGCTGCGATAGCACTAAACAAACGAAGCGGCGCCAAAAGTGAAAAGCACGGTGCTCGTAGTGTTCGACGGTTTGCCCTAGACGGCTAGAGTAATCACCAGTCTTAGGTAGTAGCGCGTTACTAGTAACGCGTTACTGTAACTTCATTACTTTTTTGGTAACTTGTAACTGTAACGAGTTCCTTTTTTAAAACGTAACTTGTAACTGTAGTTCTATTACTTTTTTCTGAGGTAACGATGAAAGTAACGACGTTACTTTTGTCGTTACTTTCCAGTGTTTTATGAATAATATATCACTGAACGAGCGCAATTCAGCCATTCCTTGCACTTTCCAAATCGTCTATTCCGACATTTCGAGTGTCAACATGGCCTTGCACAAAGTTGTGAATACGTTCTTTCTCGCGAGTTACGACCCGAATACAGCCACGTGTAGATTTTATAAAAAAATATCTAGTTATCTTTACGCACACGCTTGTACTTTGTGACTGAACACTTACATCTTAGTGTCTTGAAGTACCACCTATATTGTGGTTTTTTCTTTCTGTGTAAACGCTTTTTAATTGGATGAATCAACCGTGAAACAACAATACACGTGCAGGGCACTGCGCATGTCTCGTGTTTTGATTAGCGCCACTGCTCAGCACTGCTCATGTCTCGTATCTTGATTTGCGCCACTACTCTGGCGTGGAAACTTTCAAACACTAACTTCAAGAAGCAACTGCTGCTAAGTTACAATATGAAGTAAAAATCGTACTTTTTAGTTTTATGCAATAAAACATTGTGAGGGGCGTTTTCTAGTTTTTTCTCAATTTCTTTTTTGTGTTATAGAAAAGTAACTGAAAAGTAACGTCGTTACTTTTTAAAAGTAACTGTAACTTAACGAGTTACTCTTCTGTTGCGGTAACTGTAACGGTAACATCGCTACTTTTTTCTGAAAGTAACTGTAACTGTAACGAATTACTTTTTAAAAGTAACTTACCCATGACTGGTAATCACGCACCTAAAGGGCGGGATGGCGGCGCATTGACCGTCCGTGATTGGTTTGGACCAGGCATGTAGCCAAAGGGGGGGGGCGCCATGGGGCCACCTCCCCCCCCCCCCCCGAAATCTTTCATTTCGCTGGGACCTCCTCTCCCCCTCTCCCTCATGCATCATTTTTTCATAGGCGGCGGCGCCCCCCCCCCCCCCCAACCTGAAACTAAATCCTGGCTACGTGCCTGGTTTGGACGATGATGTACCAACTAGCCCATTTATCCATTTTACTACAAGGTTATCAAATGCACAAAGACGATGTGCGCCCTGACGGTGCACTTTTGGTACTATTCGTTTGGCTTCATCGGATTACACGCGTCGGCTGCTTTCAAACGTAGAGTGAAACGGACTATAGAAGGGGAATCGTTCTCCAATAAACCTTTGGCACTCTGGCTGGTGCGCATCGATGCAATCATTATGTTGCAATAAAGCACGATTTTGGTTCAGTGAAAGAAATCGCACGCAGTGAGCTCACTCCACGCTCCAAGTGAAAATGGTCAATTTTGTGTGCCCTCGTTTTCGTGCAATCACTGATGGTGCTTTGTTTACGAAGCGCAGCAATTCATGGCTGAACGTACTATGAATAAAGCGAGTGCCGCGACACGTATAGTCGAGTTTACAGGAGACTGTGGCAAACACCGGTAAGAATCTTGGCGGAGTAGTATCACCCCTTTCCGCCTGAAGGTTTTGCAGGGTCGGGGTGGTGCGCGCTCCGTTGTTCGTATTTCTTTTGATCATGAGTGTACGCGGGGCGCTTTATGTTCTTTTTTAGTTAACATTGCCATCCTGTTCGCAGTCGTTGTCACTGGAATGATGGTCAGAGATGTTGGTGTGCTCCACGCAGTGGCGTCACAAGGGGGAGGGGGGGGGGGCGGACCACCTCGGGTGCAGGGCTCAGGGGGCTGTGGTGGCGGGCCACGAGAGCGTGGGAGGGAGTCGCGGCGGGCCACGCAAGAGCGGGGGGGGGGGGGGGGGGGGGTTGGTGTCGCGGGGGCTCCGCACCGGGTGCCATTGACCCTCGTGACGCCACTGGCTGCACGTGTGCATTGTAAAAAAAAAGGACATCCGCTCGGCTATTTCGCGTACGTATACAATAGACCACCCCGGGTGCCGTTGACCCTCGTGACGCCACTGGCTTCACGTGCGCATTGTGAAAAAAAGGACATCCGCTTGGCTATTTCGCGTACGTATACAATAGACCACCCCGGGTGTCGTTGACCCTCGTGACGCCACTGGCTTCACGTGTGCATTGTGAAAAAAAAAGGACATATTCTAGGCTATTTCGCGGACGTATACAATAGACCACCCCGGGTGCCGTTGACCCTCGTGACGCCACTGGCTTCACGTGCGCATTGTGAAAAAAAGGACATCCGCTTGGCTATTTCGCGTACGTATACAATAGACCACCCCGGGTGTCGTTGACCCTCGTGACGCCACTGGCTTCACGTGTGCATTGTGAAAAAAAAAGGACATATTCTAGGCTATTTCGCGGACGTATACAATAGACCACCCCGGGTGCCGTTGACCCTCGTGACGCCACTGGCTCCACGTGTGCATTGTGAAAAAAAAGGACATCCGCTCGGCTATTTCGTGGGCGTATACAATAGACCACCCCGGGTGCCGTTGACCCTCGTGACGCCACTGGCTTCACGTGCGCATTGTGAAAAAAAGGACATCCGCTTGGCTATTTCGCGTACGTATACAATAGACCACCCCGGGTGTCGTTGACCCTCGTGACGCCACTGGCTTCACGTGTGCATTGTGAAAAAAAAAGGACATATTCTAGGCTATTTCGCGGACGTATACAATAGACCACCCCGGGTGCCGTTGACCCTCGTGACGCCACTGGCTCCACGTGCGCATTGTGAAAAAAAGGACATCCGCTTGGCTATTTCGCGTACGTATACAATAGACCACCCCGGGTGTCGTTGACCCTCGTGACGCCACTGGCTTCACGTGTGCATTGTGAAAAAAAAAGGACATATTCTAGGCTATTTCGCGTACGTATACAATAGACCACCCCGGGTGTCGTTGACCCTCGTGACGCCACTGGCTTCACGTGTGCATTGTGAAAAAAAAAGGACATATTCTAGGCTATTTCGCGGACGTATACAATAGACCACCCCGGGTGCCGTTGACCCTCGTGACGCCACTGGCTTCACGTGCGCATTGTGAAAAAAAGGCCATCCGCTTGGCTATTTCGCGTACGTATACAATAGACCACCCCGGGTGTCGTTGACCCTCGTGACGCCACTGGCTTCACGTGTGCATTGTGAAAAAAAAAGGACATATTCTAGGCTATTTCGCGGACGTATACAATAGACCACCCCGGGTGCCGTTGACCCTCGTGACGCCACTGGCTCCACGTGTGCATTGTGAAAAAAAAGGACATCCGCTCGGCTATTTCGCGTACGTATACAATAGACCACCCCGGGTGCCGTTGACCCTCGTGACGCCACTGGCTTCACGTGCGCATTGTGAAAAAAAGGACATCCGCTTGGCTATTTCGCGTACGTATACAATAGACCACCCCGGGTGTCGTTGACCCTCGTGACGCCACTGGCTTCACGTGTGCATTGTGAAAAAAAAAGGACATATTCTAGGCTATTTCGCGGACGTATACAATAGACCACCCCGGGTGCCGTTGACCCTCGTGACGCCACTGGCTCCACGTGTGCATTGTGAAAAAAAAGGACATCCGCTCGGCTATTTCGTGGGCGTATACAATAGACCACCCCGGGTGCCGTTGACCCTCGTGACGCCACTGGCTCCACGTGTGCATTGTGAAAAAAAAAGGACATCCGCTCGGCTATTTCGTGGGCGTATACAATAGACCACCCCGGGTGCCGTTGACCCTCGTGACGCCACTGGCTCCACGTGTGCATTGTGAAAAAAAAAGGACATCCGGTCGGCTATTTCGCGGACGTATACAATAGACCGGTCTCA